TGAAATGAATGCGTCACTGTACTATATGTTGTGGGTATATACAAAGGTATACGATAAAAGTAGGTTGTGTAGAGATGTGCATTGCTGGGTATATACCTAGTATTTTAATTAATATTTCGGCAGTTAAAGGATTCTTGATGTAGGTGTACTGGTAATAGCGGTAGACCTTAAACCTAATACAGTAACTAAAAGTATGCAATTATAGGTGTGCACCTTTAATTGCTCGGGAATTTAATTCATTTGTTTGCATGACTGTTATATATATATTATATATATATATATATAATCTCAGTGGTTTTCAAACCACTCATATTGATGAGTACAGTTTTAGTATTACAAACATGTAGAATTGCAAAATGCATAGAAGCTCTTAAGGTTTCAGAGCTTCTTGAGCTTCTCAGATGTCAGTTGGGAACCCAAGATGCAACAAGCATTCCCACTCTGAATTGCCTGACTGAGGTGCTGCAAGGGAAAAGTGGCAGTCCTCTGGTCTCTGGTTTTTTGGTGAATCTGGAACCCAGCTTCTTGAAGAAACCCATGGCATGTTTTACCCAGGAGCCAAGGGTATCTGATCCCAAAGACAGTGATACTGGTGGGCCAAATAACTGTTTGTTGAGCTTGTTGACCAACGTTAAATAATATGAAAGTTTCACGTGCTTTCATTTCCACACTAGGAGGTATTTCACTCGTAGCTTCTCTGCCAGAATCAAGCTTCAGTTCAAGAAACTGCTCTTAAGCCTAAGTAACTGTTTTTTATTGTATTGTGAAAGAAATTTCTTGAAAGACTAAAACCGCATTGATTCAGGCCAGGAAAATCCTACTGAAATCGTCATCCAAAGCATTAAGTTTTTTTTTCCTACTTCTTTAAAGATAAGGAAAGGTTGCTGGTTCCTTGTTTGTTGAGACTTGACCACTGCTGGCCGCACGCAGTCCTGCATACTAACACAGCCTGGTTGATCAGGAACTGACAAACTTTTCAAGTTTCCCCTTTAAGACAGAAAGGGCTTTGTTGGCAATCCTTGTGTATGAAAGATGGGTGTCGAAAAGTCTTCGGAACCTTGTTACTCTCCTAGTGTGACCAGCTGGGTTGTGGTTCATACGTCGGTTTGTGTGCAGCCAGCAGATCAGGCTCTGATCCACCGCGAGACCTGGTCATGGACTGGGTCGCGGGGGCGTTGACCCCCGAGACAACCTCCTGGTATGATACCCCTGCTTTTAGGACATAAGAACGAAGGAACACTGCAGAAGGCCTACTGGCCCATGCGAGGCAGGTCCAAGTCTCCTACCGGCTTAAGCCAATGCACCCAACCTAGTCAGGTCAGGTCACATTGACTTAAGGGAGGAACATGGCAACCGACCTGGTAGCACAAGCTATCAGGTCCAACTCACACCCACCCACATCCACTCATGTATTTATCCAACCTATTTTTAAAGCTACACAACGTTCTGGCCTCTATAACTGTACTCGGTATATTGCATCGTCTGCTGATCTTTTTTTTGTGGGGGGGGGGAGTGATTTCTATGTAGAATTGGAACCAGTCCTTGAATTTTGTAGCTCAAAAGTGGCCCAGCATGTAACCTCTGAATGCAGTGTTCTGCTTTTAAATTACGGAAACTGCGCACTGTTTTATGTGATCTACAATTATGACTGTTATTCAGATGTTTGATTATTCTATCAAAAACCTCGCTTTATATATGAACCAGCATGAAGTCAGAATATAATTCAAGCCCGTCCAAATTTGTCAATACAAATACCATTAATTACCTTATCAATATTTAAATTCGTGGAAGACTTTCGACATAGCTGTGATATTACTAAAACGTCACGGAAGCACGTCCAGAGCTCCATGGATACCAAAGACTAAACTTACCACATACTTAATTTTCGTGGAAAACGTTACAGTAAAAACATCAATATTTGCTTTACTTTAACTGGCAATAAAATAACATCTTATTTTATTGTTTCATTCTAGAAGTAAACTAGTAGCTATGAACGCTGAACTACGTTTGGCTTAAACTCCCTGATGGGCAAAAAACTAGACAACTTGACCTACACTGCTTCAGTAATGTCATGTCCTCCGCACTTTCTTAACTTTAGAGTTTAATAGCGAGATAGGTTTCTCCGAAGTAGCAGTTATGTAGCATAGAATGCAAGTTCACAAGGATTAAGCAGAATGCTACATTCATTTTTAGGCTTTGCTATATAGATTTCGTTAAATTTATTTTTACTCGTTTTTTTTTTTCATTGTGCACTTTTCACCTAGCAAGTTCTTGCCAACATTTTCTTTTAACCTACCGCCCCTAGATCTTCGAACACAGTACAAAGTTGTACCATGCTGCATTTTGCTGCTTAAAAACAAACATACACAGCTGAGGCTAGGGCAATGATGTTTGTATACAGTCAGACTTGTGCTTGTTTATGTAAGCGTGCGCCCGCTAGCCTGCTTGCTGTCTGCCCAGCAGTGTGTTTAACCTTGTGATATTAAACTTCCTGGGTGTTCACTTCCTTGATGTTCATGGATGCTGGATTACACTAGGGTGATGTAATGAATGGTTTTGAAAACCGACAAGTTGAAGAATTGACACTTGTGCATTGGAATGATCAAGCCACTGTGTTGCGAAACGTTTCTTCAATAAAGATTCTCATATGTTGCATAAATGTCTCGATTCTAGGGTGATGTAACTTACAATTGTTGCTTATATCATGTTGTACTGCACAATGTACCTTGTTCTTGTATAATATTTAGAGCACGTTTGAACCTTCAAGGAATAAAAATATCGCGGTGAAGGTTGGTCGTATTCTGTATACTTCGCACACCAAAAATAGTCAGAACTAGTGTAACTTAAAATGTAAAGAACAATTACAGTTAGTGAAATGTTCCTTTTGTAAACCTTGTGTACAAACGTCAGTATTTAATGTGCATCCATGATGCACGGTGGCTAAAGCTCCCGCTTCACACACGGAGGGCCCGGGTTCGATTCCCGGCGGGTGGAAACATATCGACACGTTTCCTTACACCTGTTGTCCTGTTCACCTAGCAGCAAATAGGTACCCCATGTGTTAGTCGACTGGTGTGGGTCGCATCCTGGGGGACAAGATTAAGGACCCCAATGGAAATAAGTTAGTCCTCGATGACGCACTGACTTTCTTGGGTTATCCTGGGTGGCTAACCCCCCCCTTGGTTAAAAATCCGAACGAAATCTTATCTTAATGTAGCCATGAGCTGAGTTCAGTGGATAACGCAGTATTTCTTGGTAATTTTTGTTAAATTATATTTTATTTAAGTTATTATTTCTTGTTTTAACTGCGGTCAAGGAATTTTGGAAGCAAAATGTATGGACTTTATTATTAAGCACGTTTTCCGCAGAAAGGGAACATTCAGGTAGTCCCGCAGGCGTTCCCAACCTGGGATGCGAGATGGCTTTTGATGGGGTGCGACGAAGAGTCCTTATGAAAAACACAATTCAAATAGTAATAAAGTTGGTAGAATTACCGACAATATGTAAAGTAAAAGGACACAAGTGCAACTAATGTGACATTTATTGTGGCAACGTTTCGCTCTCCAGGAGCTTTATCAAGCTTGATAAAGCTCCTGGAGAGCGAAACGTTGCCACAATAAATGTCACATTAGTTGCACTTGTGTCCTTTTACTTTACAATTCAAATACTTTTCTAAATGCTCAGTTGTCTGACTACTCCATCTTCAAATGTGATATTACTTTTGTTACAAAAGCTTTGTAGGGGGGTGAACATCCATCAATCATTTCCTAGGGGTGCAGAGAGTAGAAATGGTTGGGAACCCCCTTAAGTGTTTTTTTTTACTGCGTAATGTAGCAACAGTTTAACAAAACTAATTCATTAAAAATAATACTCGGAGCACTACAGTCACACACGAACGCTGACACACTTGTATTATTGTTTCCCAGGAAGGAGTACTCAAGGTCAGGAATACGGTCAAATATCACGCGAGTACATCTTTTCGAGTGAAGTAATTCTATTTAATCAAAGACCGGTTGAACACGTGTACTTTGAGCCACTTATTAAGACTAATTCTTTAATTACATCAACTATTAATCTTAAATAGCAAAAGCTGAGAATTTGGCCTTTGACTGCTTAACTCGTGTGGTCTTAAATGCCAAATCGATTGGTTTGCCTTTAGAGCCAACTTAATGGGATTGAAAATCAGATTAAATTTCAGCCATATCCTTTAATATATATCCAGCCATAAGTTAAAATGGCCCGTCTGACGAGTGCGTTCATTGGAAGACTATTGACAATTACCCCCAAACGTGTTTATACAAGTTGCCAAGACGAAGCTTAAGCCCAGACTTATGATTATTGATGTGCTCTACTGAGTTGCCAGGCTACCGTTATAGTTTTTTTTATAAAGTATTCTATATGCGTAGCCAGGTTTGGAGGAAGGTTGCATAAGTTTCTCTCTCTCTCTCTCCTCTCTCTCTCTCTCTCTCTCTCTCTCTCTCTCTCTCTCTCTCTCTCTCTCTCTCTCTCTCTCCCCTCTCTCTCTCTCTCTCTCTCTCTCTCTCTCTCTCTCCTCTCTCTCTCTCTCTCTCTCTCTCTCTCTCTCTCTCTCTCTCTCTCTCTCTCTCTCTCTCTCTCTCTCTCTCTCTCTCTCTCTCTCTCTCTCTCTCTCTCTCTCTCTCTCTCTCTCTCTCTCTCTCTCTCTCTCTCTCTCTCTCTCTCTCTCTCTCTCTCTCTCTCTCTCTTCTCTCTCTCTTCTCTCTCTCTCTCTCTCTCTCTCTCTCTCTCTCTCTCTCTCTCTCTCTCTCTCGCTACTTGTCTTGTTCTCGCTGTCTGTCTCTCATTCTTGCCCTCTCGCTCTTTCATTATTGCTAAGGTGCATTTGATGATGCAGTATATTACAGGTTTATATGAAAATATACATTATACTTGGTGCTTCCCCTGAAATATATACTAGTGCACCTTTAGTCCAATAATAACTATGTATTATAATCCTTCTTAAAGATATTTTTTCTCCACAGGTGAAAATGCCACAAACAGAGATTCATTTTTGTTCTTACGCAAGGAGCTACCAGTACGACTTGCAAACATTATGAAGGAATTTCATCTATTGCCAGAGAAACTCCTCCACATGCCATCTGTGTGTGATGTACGGGACCTTTATCGCATGAGTTTTATAGATCTTCTAGAATTTGAAGATGGCAGTTGCTCTAATTCTTCTATTCTTGACAAGTAAGCATTTTTTTTTTAAATGCTAAAAGTAACTTATGATGTATTAAAAGCAAGATTTTCAAGACCAGCAACATGAATTTATTGAAATTATCTTAATTATCAAATATATATCAGGCAAGTGATCAACTAGGCTTTTTCAGTAAAGCATTTTTTTTTCTCCTACTTCTGTACAGCTATCATGCCTCAACCCATTTTGCTGGCTTGCTGCTTAGCAGCACAGTTCATGTGCACACACTATTTGTGTGTTAAATACCCTTATTCTTTGTAATTATTTATTTTAATATTTTATTCATTTTAATTTTGTATAAAGCTCTCAAGTCATTGGAGATGATTTTGTTTCCCATCTTAACATCTTTTTCATACTCTCTGGTACATTTTAGTGTATAGCACAGTAATTGCAATGTGATAACTTGTTAGTTACATTAAAGATGTATTTTTATGTAGCAGTAGAATTGGCATAAATTTTTAATTTCAGTAGAAACTCGTAGCATTCCCATTTGAGGATAAATATATATATATGTACATATATTCTGAAGTGCCAGTAAATTTTATGGCTTTAATATTTTTCTTCAGGTTTACTGACACGCTGTTAAAAATTCGTAATCGCCATAAAGATGTAGTGATGACCATGGCTCAGGGAGTGATTGAGTTGAAGGATGCTCATTCAATTAATGCCAACACAGAGGCCAACATCCAATATTTCCTCGATAGATTTTACATGAATCGCATCTCCATCAGGATGCTCATTAACCAGCACAGTGAGTTTTTATGAAATGTTGCATAGTACTGTACTGCACGAATGTGAAGATTTGTCGGCAAATTGAAGTTGCACTGGTGTTATTTGGTATGGGAATTAATAAATAATAGCTTTTACAAAACTAATTATGTATACACTTTTCGTGTTAATCTAAAGTTAAATTATATAAAAACTGATGCACTATTAAAATTCTTTGTTAATTAAAGGTCTGTATAAAAAATGTAGTAATTATTGCTTGTTTGTGATGGTATGGTATTGTTGTGAATATACATGTAATTGATACCAAATAGGAGTTAAAAAATCTGTTATGCCTGATGGGTAGGTATGCCATTGGAAGATAAGAACACCATATGTGGGTGGAAGGAATTAGTTTTGTCAAGTTGAGTAACAGAGAAAAAGGTGAAAAGCAAGTCAGGTGAAAAAGGTAGGGGACAGCTAGGGTGGGAAGTCAATCTTGATAAGGTTAACTCCTGTATGTTCTGAAGGTTAAAGAATTAAAGTTTATTGATAAGAGCATACATTAACAGAAACCAAACCAAGATTATGATTCATGTTAGGGATGAAATGTAAGAGCCAAACTGACAAGAGCATTTGTGAAGGCTAGGAAAAGTATAGGCAATTTTGACAGGACCATTTTAAATAATTTAAAGGAATTTATTACTCTTACTTTATAATTAAAAAATTTAATTTATTTCAGCAATTCTCTTCGGTGATGGTGTGCATGCACAGAACCACATAGGATGTATAGACCCTCACTGTGATGTTGTTCGTGTGATAGAAGATGCGTATGCCAATGCTCGCTTTCTTTGTGACCAGTATTACCTTGCATCTCCAGAGCTTGTAATAAAATATCATAATGGTAAGTAGTCTTGTATTTTAAGGGCAGTACAAAATGAGACATTGGATTATTGCTTTTGCTTTCTTTTGATTTTTGATAGAATGTTAGCTGTATGTTCTAAGGTTAAACTGACAATACTTATTTTTCCACTCTCAATCCCTCCTCATCTTGTTCAACATTTTGATGAGGGATCTTTGCCTGGGTCTAATGATATTTAAGAACATAATTAAGAAGGAACGCTGCAGCAGGCCTACTGGCCCATGCAGGGCAGGTCCAATGGCCCACCCAGTCAGGTCACCTCCACTTAAATTAAGGAGCACAGCTTCTGACTCGGTAGCACCAGCTAGTCAGGTCCAACTCGCACCCAACCACACCCACTCGTGTATTTATCTAACCTATTTTTAAAACTACACAACGTCTTGGCTTCTGTCACGGTACTCTGGAGTTTTTCACTCGTCCACAACTCTATTACCAAACCAGTGCTTTCCAGTATCCTTCCTGAATTTGAATTTTTCCAGTTTAAAACCATTGCTGCAAGTCCTGTCTAGGCTAGATATTTTTAAGATGCTATTTACATCCCCTTTATTCCTGTTTTCCATTTATACACCTCGATCATATCCCCCCTAATTCTACACCTTTCTAAAGAGTGCAGATTCAGGGCCCTCAGCCTATCCTCATACGGAAGATTTCTGATATGTGGGATCAGCTTTGTCATCCTCCTCTGTACGTTTTCCAGTGCATTTATATCCATTCTGTAATACGGTTACCAGAACTGTGCAGCATAATCTAAACAAGGCCTAACCAAGAATATATAGTTGAACAACCTGAGGACTCGTATTATTTATGCTTCTTGATATGAAGACAAGGATTCCGTTAGCTTTATTGCAAATGCTTATGCGTTCGCAATAAAGCTAACGGTTACTGCTAACCAGAACTCCTAAATCCTTTTTTGCAATCAGTAATATTAAGATCTACATTATTTAGTTTGAATGTGGCATGGTTATTATACTTTTGAACATTTAGAGCTTTGCATTTGTCTATATTAAACTGCATCTGCCACTTCTCCGACCATTGCATCAGTCTATTCAAATCGTCCTGGAGTGCTCTAGGGTCCCCATTAGAATGAATTGGATGGCCTATTTTGGTGTCATCAGCAAATTTGCTTATGTTGCTATTTATTCCCTCATTTGTCAATTGCGAACAAGGGGCCCAACACTGACCCCTGTGGAACACCGCTTGTGACATGCCCCCCATTCCGATTTCTGTGTGCCTTAAGTTTCTCTAATAGCCTCTGATGTGGAACTCTATCAAAAAGCCTTACTGAAGTCCATATACACTATCATATTCAATACCATGATCTACCTCCTCAAGTACCTTAGTGAAAAAAGTTGGTAAATTCGTAAAACTGCGTTGATATTGATAAATCAATTTCTTTCAAGATGGCTGTGAATTGTTTCAGCAATTATTGATTCCATAAATTTTCCCACTATGAAGGTAAAGCTTTGGTCTATAGTTCGAAGCTAAGGAGGATGGAGGATGTAAACAGACAAACACATCTGGTTATGAATGATACTCGTTCATCTACATGTAACATCTCGTATTTGTAAATTTATTCTACTGTGAGGTGTACTTATTTTTGTTACATAGCATGTCTGTATATTTTTTTTTATTAACAAATCGGCTGCTTCCCACCAAGGCAGGGTGGCCCAAAAAAGAAACTGTCATCATTCACTCCATCACTGCCTTGCCAGAGGCATGCTTACACTAGTTATAAAAGTGCAACATTAACACTCCTCCTTCAGAGTGCCAGCACTATACTTCCCATCTCCAGGAATTGAGTCCAGCCTGCCAGTTTCCCTGAATCTCTTCATAAATGTTACCTTGCTTACATTACAACAGCACAGTCCTAAAAACCTTTTGTCTCCATTCACTCCTATCTAACACTCTCGCACTCTTGCTGGAAGTCCAAATCCCACGCACACAAAACCTCCTTTACCCCCTCCTTCCAACCTTTCCTAGGCCGACCCCTACCCTGCCTTCCCTCCTCTACAGATTTATACACTTGAAGTCATTCTATTTTGTTCCATCCTCTCTACACATCCAAATCATCTCAATAACCCCTCCTCAGCCCTCTGGATAATGGTTATGGTAATCCCATACCTCCTAATCTCCAAACTACGAATTCTCTGCATTATATTCATGCCACGTATTGCCCTCAGACAAGACATCCACACTGCCTCCAGCCTTCTTGTTGCAACATTCACAACCCAAGCCTCACACCCATACAAGAGCGTTGGTATAACTACACTCTCATACATTCCTCATTTTTCTTTCATAGATAAAATTTCTGTCTCCACAGACTCCACATTGCACCACTCGCCTTTTTCCCCTCGTCAATTCTATGATTCACCTTGTCCTTCATAGACCCATCTGCTGACATGTCCACTCCCAAATATCTGAACACATTCACCTCCTCCATACTCCAAACATGGATTAATGAAAATGTTTGTTAACGTAATGTATGACATTTAATGCGCCTCAGTCTTTATTTTATATTATCATTATTAATATGGTGTCCTTGAGACTAAAACGACACTCTTAGTGATTTTAATGTGTACCTGCACGCTAGCACAGTGTAATTTTATTTAGGGACATGTATGCAAGTATAATTATCAGTATATATAAAATGTGAAATAACTTTACAACACTTTAAATTTTGCAAAGTTTCCTGACATAATGGAAGGAGACGATGCTCATGGAGCTCACGGAGAATGTAAAGACACAGGGTGGGGTGCGGTGATCATATTAGGAAGTCGGGTGGGGGGAGCCGTATAGTGAGTTTGTCATAATTTGAAATGTCCATATTAGCGGAACACCATAAAGCAGGGTCCTACTGTATTAGATATTGGGAATGCTGCCTTTCCTGTATTAACACATGCACTTGGCTTGGGGATTTGCCTGTATGTCATAGTTTGCTCGAGGGGGCAAATTTTCTTGTTCCAAGTGATTGGTAGTAATTTTTGTAATCGATTAAAAAATCTCTAACGTATCACATTTTTATAGCATTCATAAAGGTTATACATTGTGAATGTTAGGGGTGCATTGTATTAATGTATATAGGGTGGATGTCTTGTATTCATTGTTCCTGAAACCAGCATTTCTAATGTGTAATAAGACTGCAAATCATTTTCTTGCATTTGTGTGCGTTTCAGAATCCTTGCTGTAAACTGGTTCACTTTAAAAACATTCCCTCATTTGTTGGTAAATGTGATCCAAATTTATAACTCGTTCAATTGAATATCTCTACACTCGCTCGGTTATTCACTTCACTAAAGTCACTCGCATTTCTTACACAACTAATTCGTATATTGTAGGTGGCAAACTGTATGACTTTTCACTCCATCCTGGACCATTGTCAAGTCACTTGTGACGTGATCATCATCCAGGTTGGACATGAATATCATATAGGTTGCATCTCTAAAATGTGGGTTAGGCATGAACCATTTGAACTACATTATTGATTTTCCTAATATATGAGCAGCCTTGCATAGCTAGTAGGTCTGTTGCAGTTTTCCTTCTTATGAGCATATGGTATATTGCATTTGAGGAAATAAATTTATTTCTTGGTTTTCTTTGCTCATATTTAGTCGCAGGACCATTTTCATTATATTAAGCTTCTAGCTAACTAGAGCATTTGCTGATTGCATAATACTGCTAGAAGCAAGTTTTAAATATATAATTTTTATTAGCATCTGAGTTTTTTAATTTTTCACTTTTTCTCATTTTTTCTATAACCCTAGCAATCTGCAAATCAGATTTTTGCAGTGGGGACGAATCTTTCATAAACTATGCATGTCATAAGGGGTGGCTAAAATGCCGGAAGTAAGGGGGCTAGTAACCCCTTCTATATAAACTACCACATGTGAAAAGAAGAAACTCGTTTCTTCTATTTTGGGTCACCCTGCCTCAGTGGGAGACGGCCAATCTGTTAAAAGATCTTCATAAATTATTTATAATGAATAAATATTTTATGAACAGTAATTCGTTTCTTATCATTTCTTAAGGCTGTTTCTGGTCGTGTCACTTCTGTGGATTTTTAGTAACTAATAGTAGAATGCTTTTGCACACTTGCACCCACAGAAAAGGACAAGGCGACAAAAACCATAAAAGAAGCTGGAGCACCAGGTACTGTTATAATTTCACCTTGTTTATACCACTGCTATATGTATAATTTTAGCCAGATCAGTATGTTTATGCAGAGAGCAATTATGTATTCAAGTCTCTCGTGTACTTGAAAGATAAAAGATGGGAGTTTGAGAGGCCAAGGTCCTACCTATGTTTAATGCATGCTGTTCTTGAAAGCTTGTTTTTAGTATCAGTTTTTATTGAATACATATTTAGGAGACCTCCCACTGTCAGGCAAAATAAATAAAAAAAATTATTAAATATAAATGTGTGAATGCAAATATTCCTCTTGGTTTATATGCTTGTACAGTAAATCCTCAATTGAACAGACAAAAAAAAAAAAAAATCATGCTGCACGCAGTGTATTTTATGACCCCAAGTCTGTATATATTACATCTGCATTCTTTTTGTCTTCTAGTGCATTTAGGACCTTGTCGTAGTGATCCAATAGTTGAGACAGACAGGAGCGACCTGTTCTAAACATATGTTGCCCTGGGTTGTGTAACTGATGGGTGGTGATCTTGCTTCTTAGGACCCTTTCAAAGATTTTTATGATATGGGATGTTAGTGCTATCGGTCTGTAGTTCTTTGCTGTTGCTTTACTGCCCACTTTGTGGAGTGGGGCTATGTCTGTTGTTTTTAGTAACTGTGGGACGACCCCCCGTGTCCATGCTCCCTCTCCATAGGATGGAAAAGGCTCGTGATAGGGGCTTCTTGCAGTTCTTGATGAACACGGAGTTCCACGAGTCTGGCCCTGGGGCAGAGTGCATGGGCATGTCATTTATCGCCTGTTCGAAGCCATTTGGCGTCAGCATAACATCGGATAGGCTTGTGTTAACCAAATTTTGTGGCTCTCGTAAAAAATTCATTTTGATCTTCGACTCTGTCTGGTTAGTGGCTTGCTAAAAACTGAGTCATATTGGGACTTGAGTAGCTCACTCATTTCCTTGCTGTCATCTGTGTAGGACCCATCTTGTTTAAGTAGGGGCCCAATACTGGACGTTGTTCTCGACTATGATTTGGCATAGAAGAAATACTTTGGGTTTCTTTAGATTTCATTTATGGCTTTTAGTTCTTTCCGCGTTTCCTGACTCCTATAAGATTCCTTTAGCTTAAGTTCGATGCTTGCTATTTCTCTGACCAGTGTCTCCCTACGCATTTCAGATATATTGACCTCTTTTAGCCGCTCTGTTATTCTTTTCCGTCGCCTGTAAAGGGAGCGCCTGTCTCTTTCTATTTTACATCTACCCCTCCTTTTTCTTAGAGGAATAAGCCTTGAGCATACATGGTGCCACCAAGTTAATTTGTTCTAGGCATAAGTTGGGGTCTGTGTTGCTTAGTGTATCTTCCCAGCTTATATCGGTTAGGATTTGGTTTACTTGATCCCACTTTGTTTTTGTCATTGAAGTTGAATTTGGTGAATGCTCCCTCGTGACTAGTCTCATTATGTCGGTCTGGGGCTCCACGCATACATGTCTGAACCTCAATTATGTTGTGATCTGAGTATATTGTTTTTGATATGGTGACATTTCTTATCAGATCATCATTGTTAGTGAAGATGAAATTTAATTTTGTGCAGAGATTTAAAAGCTCGTGCGAGTGTGAGTTTTCATCAGAGCTGCCTCCTGGTGTTATTACTGCAACAATATTATTTGCATATATTGTGAAAGTGAGGGAAGTGGAGTTTGCTCAGTTTTTGCCTCATATTTTGTGTGCCTTGAACATGGCCCTGATATGGAAATATAAACACGTGCAGTATGTGATCCTTTATTGATGGTTGTAACATAAATGTCAAAACAGACATGAATGTATTAGAATTCTCAGCACTAAAAAAAAGGATCTTTAGAGATTTATAATAACATTAATACTAATTTTACATCTTATACTAATAAATTCCTAATACATTCATGTCTGTTTTGACATTTGTTACAACCACACAAAATTATTCGTCAATAAAGGATCACATTATACTGCATATGTTTGTTTCCATTGTGTCGGTATTTTATACCATTTATTTCCATGACCCTGATATGTGGGAGTTGCTCATTCAGCTTCAGTCATTACAACATCTTTATTTACTTCATTCTTGTACTACCTCCTTTTGGTCTGTTTATTTCTGATGTTCATTGTTCTCAATGTAGCTTTTCATGAATAATATCAGTGCACTAAGACATTTATGTATCATACAAACAAAATTTAACTGTAAGGATCATCACACCAAACATTTCAAATGGCAATACGTATGTACTGCACATGAATACCTCTTTGCTTGTAGGCATACTGTCGATAATATGCTTTGTTAACATTATTTACCCCTTGACTGTCGCAACCCCCAATCCTGAAGTCTCTTGGTGTCGCAAAATTTAAAAAAAATATTTTTTTATGAAATGATAGAATCTTTTCGCGATTGTAATGACACCAAAAAAACATTAAATTTGATAGAAAATTGACGGAATTACGCTCTCGCGAAGTTAGCGACCTCGGCAATATTTACAAATCGGCGATTTCGTCCATTTTGAGCCCTATTTTCGGCTAATTCCATTGTTCCAGTCGACCAAGCTCATAGCTATTTCTTTAGAACTCCATTTTATCTATCGATTGAGTACGAGAAACTGCCCATTTACCAATTTCAACTACCCAATAACGTGGTCAGAAATTTGCAATTTGGCCAATTTCACGAAAATTAAAAAAATGACAATTTCAAAATAAGGTCCAGAATGAACAATGCAGACATTCCTGGCTCTAAAATAACATTTTCTTTGTTCATCAGTCACGTCTCCAGGCCCCTCTGATATTACTCTTGCTTTCTATTTTGAATTTTTATTCAAACAAAAAAATAAAAGATTTACTGTTATGCAGACTACTGCAATACTGTAATAATTGTATAAATAACATCAACCCATTCATGACTGCATATTAGAATGTCTAGTTGGACATTTATTGGACAATGACATATTTGTTTACTTTTGAACATTGGCAAAAATCAAACATTTCCCCTACTTTGAGCTCCATTTCCAGGTTCTTTTTTATAGAAAAACCAATCAAAATCACTTCTATTTCTATAATATGTTTTCCATTATATCAAATGAGACCAAGAAAACGAGAATACAACCATAAATACTATACGAAAATAGACTCAAACTCGGCATTTTAATTAAAAAAAAGGTCGGAGTTTTTTTCTCATTATGCACTGCATGCTCCAGGATTTTTTTATATGGTGCACACTGACCACACAGACCCATTCTCTCACATGTGGGCCTACCAGCTTTCTCCTGCTTGATTTGAAGCCGCTAGAATTTGAGTATATATATGTCAAACACGGTACCTCGTAAGACGTATATGTACGACCTCGACAGTCAAAGGGTTAAACACACAATTTATGTACTGTATATTACCATCAATATATAATTGGTGTGAAAATCCCGAAAACGCTCAATGGCGAGTATAAGCCTTCATAAGTGTAGTGACTGTTTTGTGGCTGCAGCTAAATTGTTGCTTAATTGAGCTTACTGCTTTTTTTCTGTAGCTTATACAAAGAACTAACAAGTGAAAGTGAGTTTGAAACTAGGAAATGTTAATGTCTGCTGACTATCATTCTATTATCTTCTAATTGACACTAATCCATGAATATTTTCACCTAGACAATACCAGTCTAATGGCAACAGCATTAGAATAATACAGTAACTGCTCAGCAAAGACCATGAAAATAATGCATAGTAACAAAAATACACTGCCAAATTTAGTTGGCAGTACCAAGATTGGCTTGCTTGCCACTGCCAACTAAATTTACAACTCTTGAAAGTTGTAAGCTTTAATAAGCACATGGATACTGGAAAATTTAGTTATAATTCAATATTCTTGACATGGATTCTCTTCAAATTTATCACTAATTGAAAGAAATTATCAACTTTTTTGTTCAACAGGTTGGCCATGTCTTGCTAAGGCAGGGTGACCCAAAAAAGAAAAACCACTTTCACCATCATTTTCACTTTCACCGTCTTTCACACATAATCACTGTCTTTACAGAGGTGCTCAGATACAACAGTTTAGATGTCACTCCAAACAGCCAATATCCCAAACCCCTCCTTTCAAGTGCAAGCATTGTACTTCCCACCTCCTGAATCCCTGTTTAACACTCGCACATACCTGTTGCATGTCCAAGCCCCTTGCACACACAACGTCTTCTACCCCCTCCCTCCCTCCATCCTTTATTAATATATTCAGTATATCTTTAACCTGTAAACGGTCCAAACGTATATATACGTTTTTACCGCTAGTGCCCCAAACGTATATACATGTTTTGTCCTACATTTAACATTGCCACAATAAGCCTGAGTCGCCTAGACATGTGAGAATGGGTGTGAGCACTCGCTGTGCACCATATTAAAATAATTGGGAATACCTGCATACCATATGCTTTTTTTTCCTATTAAAAAACAACTTTTTTTTTTTCCCAAAAAAGTTGGGGCATTACGGAAGTGAACGTATATATACGTTTGGACCGTTTACGGGTTAAATTACAAAGTGAAGAAAAATGCCCAGAGTTTTACTTTTTTGAAGATACAACTTTGGTTCAGTACATGCCATGGTAGTATTAAAATGCTTTGATAATATGTAAAGTGATGAAATAGACATAGATTAGAAAAAAGATTGTGTGGAAATTTTTTTACTATGCATTAAGTGGGCTAATGTGAGGTTTTCATTCTTTCCAGGGGACAAAACGCCTGCATCAGTTGTATATGTCCCGTCTCATCTTTATCACATGCTTTTTGAACTCTTCAAAAATAGCATGCGTGCTGTTGTTGAGCACTATGGTACTAGTACTGATGTGTTCCCTCCTGTAGAAGTGCTTCTAGTCATGGGTCATGAGGATCTTACTATTAAGGTATGTATTTCACAGTACAAGGATTGACCACTTCAGTTATTATATTAAAATATAATGCAATATATTACTCAGGATACAGATGTTAGTTAATGAGAGAACCATACAAGAGAACAATTTGAGAAACTGTAAATCAAGTGGACATAATTTTTCAGTTAAGTGACTTAGGCGGTGGCATTCCCCGAAGTCAAATGGATCTACTCTTCAACTACATGTACTCCACTGCACCACAGCCAGCTGTTTCTGGGCTAGATACACCACCTCTGGCTGGTTATGGTTACGGGCTTCCACTGTCCAGATTATACGCTCGCTACTTCCATGGAGACCTGATGCTAACATCGTGTGAAGGTTATGGTACTGATGCCATAATCTTCTTAAAGGTGCAGTAAATTTTGAAAACTGTAAACATCTTAGAAAAATATGGATTTTTTTTTTAACATGTTGGCAGTTTCCCACCAAGGCTGGGTGACCCAAAATGAAAAAAACCCAGAAAGAAAGAGGGGAAAAAAAACTTTCATTCAACACTTTCACCATCACTCATACATAATCACTGCAGAGGCACTCAGACAAGACTGCTTATACATCACTCCAAACTGCCAATATCCCAACCCCCCCCCCCCTCCCCCACTCCCCCTTTAAAGTGCAGGCATTGCACATCCCATTTCCAGGACTTGAGTCCGGCTAACTGGTTTTCCTGAATCCCTTCACAAAATATTGCCCTGCTCACACACCAACAGCTCGTCAGGTCCCAGAAACCACTAGTCTCCATTCACTTGTATCTAACATGCTCACGCACGCTTGCTGGAAGTCCAAGCCCCTTGCCCACAAAACCTCTTATCCCCTCCCTCCAACCTTTTTGAGGACAACCCCTACCCAGCCTTCCTTCCCCTACAGATTTATACGCTCTGTCATTCTACTTTGTTCTATTCTCTCTGAATGACCAAACCACCTCAACAACCCCTCTTCAGCCTTCTGACTAATACTTTTAAAACTCCATACCTCCTCCTAATTTCCACACTACGAATTCTCTGCATAATATGTGCACCACACGTTGCCCTTAGACACATCTCTGCTGCCTCCTCGCTGCAGCATTTACAACTCGAGCTTCACACTCGTATAAGAGTGTTGGTACCACTATACTCTTGTACATTCCCTTCTTTGCCCCTATGGATAATGGTTTTTTTTTTTTTGTCTCCACAGATACCTCAATGCACCACTATACTTGTTTCCTTCAATTCTATAGTTAACCTCATCCTTCATAAACCCATCTGCTGACAAGTCAACTCCCAAATACATGTATCTGAAAACATTCTCTTCTTCCATACTCTCTCCCTCCAATGTAATATCCAATTCTTTATCTAAATCATTTGACACCCTCATCACCCTACTCTTACCTTTACACACCCTCCCAAACTCATCCACTAACCTTTGCAACTTTTCTTTAGAATCTCCCAAAAGCACAGTATCATCAGCAAAGAGTAACAGTGTCAACTCCCATTTTGTATTTGGTTCTCTATAATTTAATCAGACCCCTCTCCCTAACCTCCTAGCATTTACTTTTACAACCCCATCTATAAATATATTAAACCATGGTAGCATTACATTCCCCCCCTCCCCCAACAAGTCGGTCGTCTCCCACCGAGGCAGGGTGACCCAAAAAAAAGAAAGAAAATCCCCAAAAAGAAAATACTTTCATCATTCAACACTTTCACCACACTCACACATTATCACTGCTTTTGCAGAGGTGCTCAGAATACAACAGCTTAGAAGCATATACGTATAGAGATACACAACATATCCCTCCAAACTGCCAATATCCCAAACCCCTCCTTTAAAGTGCAGGCATTGTACTTCCCATTTCCAGGACTCAAGTCCGACTATATGAAAATAACCGGTTTCCCTGAATCCCTTCACTAAATATTACCCTGCTCACACTCCAACAGATCGTCAGGTCCCAAGTATCATTCGTCTCCATTCACTCCTATCTAACACGCTCATGCACGCTTGCTGGAAGTCCAAGCCCCTCACCCACAAAACCTCCTTTACCCCTCTTTCCAACCCTTTCGAGGACGACCCCTACCCCTCTTTCCTTCCCCTATAGATTTATATGCTTTCCATGTCATTCTACTTTGATCCATTCTCTCTAAATGACCAAACCACCTCAACAACCCCTCTTCTGCCCTCTGACTAATGCTTTTATTAACTCCACACCTTCTCCTAATTTCCACACTCCGAATTTTCTGCATAATATTTACACCACACATTGCCCTTAGACAGGACATCTCCACTGCCTCCAACCGTCTCCTCGCTGCTGCATTTACCACCAAGCTTCACATCCATATAAGAGTGTTGGTACTACTATACTTTCATACATTCCCTTCTTTGCCTCCATAGATAACGTTTTTTGACTCCACATATACCTCAACGCACCACTCGCCTTTTTTCCCTCATCAATTCTATGATTAACCTCATCCTTCATAAATCCATCCGCCGACACGTCAACTCCTAAGTATCTGAAAACATTCACTTCTTCCATACTCCTCCTCCCCAATTTGATATCCAATTTTTCTTTATCTAAATCATTTGATACCCTCATCACCTTACTCTTTTCTATGTTCACTTTCAACTTTCTACCTTTACACACATTCTCAAACTCATCCACTAACCTTTGCAATTTTTCTTTAGAATCTCCCATAAGCACAGTATCATCAGCAAAAAGTAACTGTGTCGATTCCCATTTTGAATTTGATTCCCCATAATTTAATCCCACCCCTCTCCCGAACACCCTAGCATTTACTTCTTTTACAACCCCATCTATAAATATATTAAACAACCATGGTGACATTACACATCCCTGTCTAAGACCTACTTTTACCGGGAAGTATTCTCCCTCTCTTCTACACACCTAACCTGAGCCTCACTATCCTCATAAAAGCTCTTTACAGCATTTAGTAACTTACCACCTATTCCATATACTTGCAACATCTGCCACATTGCTCCTCTATCCACTCTATCATATGCCTTTTCTAAATCCATAAATGCAATAAAAACTTCCTGACTTTTATCTAAACACTGTTCACATACATGCATATGTTTCAATGTAAACACTTGATCTACATATACCTTACCCATTCTGAAACCACCTTGCTCATCTCAAATCCTGCTCTCTTACCTCTAATTCTTTCAATAACCCTACCACATACTTTACATGGCATACTCAGTAAACTACTTTCAAAGAACTGGCCATATCCCACCAAGGCAGGGTAGCCCAAAAGGAAAAACAAAAGTTTCTCCTTTTAAATTTTGTAATACATACAGGAGAAAGGATTACTAGCCCCCTTGCTCCTGGCATTTTAGTCTTTTGCAACATGCAGGGCTTATGGCTTCCCCATTGAGATAAGAAATAAGGAACAAGAACTAGTAAGAAAATAGAAGAAAACCCAGAGAGGTGTACGTGCCTATTTGTACTCGCCTGTTTGTGGTTGCAGGGATCGAGTCTTAGCTTCTGGTCCTGCCTCTTCACTGGTTGCTACTGGGTCCTCTCTCTCCCTGCTCCATGAGCTTTATCAAACCTAGTCTTAAAACCATGTATGGTTCCCGCCTCCACTACGTCACATTCTAGGCTATTCCACTGCCTGACAACTCTGAAGAAATACTTTCTAACATCCCTTTGACTCGTCTGACTCTTCAACTTCCAATTGTGACCTCTTGTTTCTGTGTCCCCTCCCTGGAACATCCTGTCTTTGTCCACCTTGTCTATTCCGCGCAGTATTTTATATGTCGTTATGTCTCCCCTGACCCTCCTGTTCTCCAGTGTCGTCATGCCGAGGGTGTGTGTGTGTGTGTGTGTGTGGTGTGTGTGTGTGTGTGTGTGTGTGTGGTGTGTGTGTGTGTGTGTGTGTGTGTGTGTGTGTGTGTGTGTGTGTACTCGCCTATTTGTACTCTTATTTGTGGTTGCAGGGGTCGAGTCATAGCTCCTGGCCCTGCCTCTTCACTGATGGCTACTAGGTCCTCTCTCTCCCTGCTCCATGAGCTTTATCATACCTCGCCTTAAAACTATGTATGGTTCCCGCCTCCACTACTGCAATTTCTAGGCTATTCCATGGCTTGACTACTCTATGACTGAAGAAATACTTCCTAACATCCCTTTGATTCATCTGAGTCTTCAACTTCCAATTGTGACCTCTTGTGTCTGTGTCCCATCTCTGGAACATCCCGTCTTTGTCCACCTCGTCTATTCTGCGCAGTATTTTATATGTCGTTATCATGTCTCCCCTGACCCTCCTGGCCTCCAGTGTCGTCAGGCCGATTTCCCTCAACCTTTCTTCGTAGGACAATCCCCGTAGCTCTGGGACTAGTCTTGTTGCAAACCTTTGCACTTTCTCTAATTTCTTGACGTGCTTGACTAGGTGTGAATTCCAAACTGGTGCTGCATACTCCAGTATGGGCCTGACATAAATGGTATACAGAGTCTTGAACGAATCCTTACTGAGGTATCGGAACACTATCCGTAGGTTTGCCAGGCGCCAGTGTGTGTACTCACCTATTGTACTCACCTATTTGTGGTTGCAGGGGTCGAGTCCTAGCTCCTGGCCCCGCCTCTTCACCTGTTGCTACTAGGCCCTCTCTCTCCCCGCTCCATGAGCTTTATCAAACCTCGTCTTAAAACTGTGTATGGTTCCTGCCTCCACTACGTCATTTTCTAGGCTATTCCACTGCCTTACAACTCTATGACTGAAGAAATACTTCCTACTATCTCTCTGACTCATTTGTGTCTTCAACTTCCAATTGTGGCCTCTTGTTTCTGTGTCCCCTCCCTGGAACATCCTGTCTTTGTCCACCTTGTCTATTCCACGCAGTATTTTATATGTCGTTATCATGTCTCCCCTGACCCTCCTGTCCTCCAGTGTGGTCAGGCCGATTTCCCTTAATCTTTCCTGTGTGTGTGTGTGTGTGTGTAAGTGTAAGTGTGTGTGTGTGTAAGTGTGTGTGCGTGTGTAAGTGTGTGTAATGTGCTTGTACATGCAAGTTCAATGTGACCTAAGTAGTAGTAGCAAAACATACCTGAAATCTTGCATGTTTGAGATGGAAAAGACACCAGCAATCCTACCATCATGTAAAATAATTATAGGCTTTCATTTTACTCGGCAGGATAGTATTACCTCCCTGGGCAGTTGCTGTCTACCAACCTACTACCTACACTCAGTGAACTTATTCCCCTATAATTTTTAGTCTCTTTTGTCCCCCTTCCCTTTATATAAAGGAAATATATACGTTCTCTGCCAATCCATGGGTAATGGGTACCTTCTCCTCTTTCGTACATTTATTGAGCTAAAATACCAACCACTCCAATGCTATATCTCCCTCTTCCCCTGCTTTTAACATTTCTGTCATGATCCCATCAGATTCAGCTGCTTTACTCCCTTTTATTCTACATATTGCCTCGCACACCCCTCCCACACTCGCATCCTGCTCTTCTTCACTCATAAAAGGTGTTATACCTCCCTGGCCAGTGCATGAAATTACTGCCTTCCTTTCTTCATGGACATTTAAAGGTTCCCCAAAATATTCCTGCTATCTACCCAATACTTCCCATCTAACTCCCAGACTGTTTTTAACTGACTAATCCATTCATTCCCTAGGCCTTCTTAACCCCCTTTATTATATATATATATATATATATATATATATATATATATATATATATATATATATATAATATATATATATTATTTTTTTTTATTATTAACACATTGACTATCAGCCACTAAGGCAGGGTGGCCTGAAAAAGAAACTTTCATCATTCACTCATCACTGTCTTGCCAGAGGCATGCTTGCACTACAGCTAGAAGACTGCAACATTAACACCCCTCCTTCAGAGTGCAGACACTACTTCCCATCTCCAGGACTAGTCCAGCCTGCTGGTTTCTCTGAATCCCTTCATAAATGTAACCTTGCTCACACTCCAACAGCACATAGTCCTAAAAACTATTTGCCTTCATTTGCTCCTATCTAACATGTTCACACATGCTTGCTAGAAGTCCAAGCCCCCTTGCACACTAAACCTTTACCCCTTCCCTCCAACATTTCCTAGGCCAACCCCTAGCCCGCCTTCCCTCCACTACAGATTTATACACTCTCGAAGTCATTCTATTTTGTTCCATCTTCTCTGCATTTCCGAACTACCTCAAAAACCCCTCCTCAGCCCTCTGGATAATAGTTTCGGTAATCCTGCACGTCCTCCTAATTTCCAAACTACGAATTCTCTGCATTATATTCACACCACACATTGTTCTCAGACATAACATCACTGCCTCCAGCCTTCTCCTTGTTGCAACATTCACTACCCATGTTTAAAATCCATATAAGAGTTGGTATAACTATACTCGTACATTCCCCTCATTGCTTCTATGGACAAAGTTCTATCTCCACAGACTCCAAAGTGCACCACTCGCCCTTTTTCCCCTCATCATTTCTGTGATTCACCTCATCTTTCATAGACCCATCTGCTGACATGTCCACTCCTAAATATCTGAATACATTCACTGCCTCCATACTCTTTCCCTCCAATCTGATATCGCTTTTTTCATCACCTAATTTTTGTTATCCTCATCACCTGTTTATCTCGCTCCAAAAATTTCTTATTAGCAAAATTTCTTGACAGTGCCTCTCCCACTCTATCCTTTGCTCTCCTTTTGCACTCTCACCACTCTTCCCCTTTCTTTTGCTCTCCATATACTGTCCTTCTTATATCACTTCTGCTTTGTAAAAACCTCTCATGAGCTACCTTTTTCTCTTATTGCTCCCTTTACCTCGTCATTCCACCAATCACTCCTCTTTCCTCCTTCACCCACCCTCCTATAGCCTCGCATTGTAACATTACATTTTTAAAACTATACCATCCCTCTTTATCTCCACTCTCCCCCCCCCCCCATTTTCCACTTTCACTAGCCCGCCTTTCTGCCAATAGTTGCTTATATCTCGCCATAACTTCCTCCTTTCCCCTTAGTTTATAAACTTTCACCTCATTCTTACTGTTGCCATTTTCCTTTTGTCCCATGTACTTCTTACTCTAACTGTAGCTACAACTAAATAATGATCTAATATATCTGTTGCCCCAATATATACATGTACATCCTGAAGCCAACCCATCAACCTTTTATCCACCAATACATAATCTAACTACTTTCATTATGTGCTATATCATATTTCATACATACTCTTTTTTCATAAAACGTGTATTACTTATTACCAAACCTGTCAACACACAGTTCAGTTAAAGGCTCCCTCATTTTTGTTTACCCCCTGGCACCCCAGATTTACCTACTACTCCCTCTACAACATTTTTACCCACTCTAGCATAGAGATCCCCAACTACAGGTAGGTACTCTTGCTTAATTCAAAACTCTCCATGCACTCTCCCAACATTTTCCAAAATGTTGGGAGTGCATAAACACTTAATATAACCCACTTTTCACATTCAACCCTTATTTTACTCCACATAATCCTTGAATTTATACATTTATATTCCCTCTTTTCCTGTCATAACTTATCATTCAACTTTATTGCTACTCCTTCCTTAGCTCTAACTCTGTTAGAAACCCAAATGAAATTCTATCCCCAGGACATCCAGCTTCTTTTCATTCATAACATCCACAATCATCTTTATCATTCACACTACACCCATGCACATTCCATCATCCCACTTTGATGGTTTTATTTTTTATTTTTAATAAACTATACGGGAAAAGGGGTTACTGGCCCATTGCTCCCAGCATTTTAGTTGACTTGCAACAGGCATGGCTTACAGAGGAAAGATTCTTATTCCACTTCCCCATGGTTATGAAAGGAAAAGTAATAGAACAACAACTATCAAGATAAAATCAAAAGAAAATTCTTATGAATGTATACATATGCATACGAGTACATGCATGTGTAGTGTGACCTAAGTGTAAGTAGAAGTAGCAAGACGAACCTGAAATCTTGCATATTTGAGACAGAAAAGACACTAGCAATCCTATCATGTAAAACAAATACAGGCTTCCGTTTTGCACTCCCTGGACGGTTGCTGTGTACCAACCTTTTTTTTTTTTCTCTCTCCTTTTTCAATAGTATTACTAAAGGGAGGTTGGAACCTGCTGAAATAAAATTTATAAGCTCCCAATCACCCCCCCCTCCCCCTCACTCACTTTTATTTTGCATACCTACATATGCCATGTAATAATACAACAGTATTGGTTAGGTTTAGCATTTGTGCTTCATACTTTCTACTTCTCTCAGGATTTATTGTATTAGTGCAGTGCAGTGCAGTGCAGTGGAGTTTTATTGCATTGATTAGATGTTTGCTTCACATTTCATTGTAATTTTTTTTTTATACAGGCCCTCTCAAGTGAAGCCAATGAACTTCTTCCAGTGTATAACAAGACTTGTCAGAGGCAGTACTCTACTCCTGTTCAAACCCACGATTGGTCTTCACAGTCTCATTCAGCCATGTTCATTCGCCCCTTTTCAACTAATTCCCGCAACAAACATAATCAGGGAAAGAATTCTCTTAGTGGCTGAAAGCTAGTGATGTACTAAAAAGCAAAGGGGAATATACATTTTATGAATTTTTGCAGCATTCAAACAGAAGGTCTCTTAAATAAAGTTTATAAAATATAATGGCATACACCTTAAAGAATGCTAGTATCAGCTACCAGTCTAAAGCATTGTATTCACTGTAGTTGTATGCTTACAGTACAATGTACTTTACATATTGTACAGAGGTTGATACAAATATTACTTTGTAAGACTCTTCTATACCAAAGATAAAAAATTTACTTAAGTGATTGTTTTCAAAGCTCTCAGAAAACTTCAATCTGTAAAGCATTTTTGGTAAACAGTGATATTTATTAATGTCCAGAAAGACATTTTAAATGCAATTATAAAATATCAGATATTTTAAAAGGTGATATACATATTGTAGATATGTATATAGAAATGCCCTTAGTTAAATATAGACTAAGGAGATGATCATTAATAGATCATTGAAATAACTGAATATGCTAGTGATACCTAGTTTGTACTTGGACAACTATAAACAGTTGGCAGTAAAATAATTTCAACGTTGTGTGATATTATAAAATACATAGAAAATTCTCGTCTATTCAAGAATTATTTCAAGGGTGGTGATAGCATTTAAGAACAAGTTTGAAAATCTAGACATGGATTAAGTTTGGTTTTGTATTGATTACTGAATATAGTGATTTGGATTGAATTTTTTGTATGTAGTCTAGATATTCGTACAGTGTAGTAAAAAAAAAGTGCACTTAAGCGAAGAACCTCTTGGTCCAAAATATCATGATGAGGGTCCTCTTCTAAGTGCAAGTTTTTGATGTATTGTTCCAACCATGGTATTTCGACTTTATATTCTTTAGTTATCAAATTCTGTTTCTTAATTGATGAATACTGATTACTTGATTTTTCTTTTGGTTGTGAAAGAACCAGAAATTGATGAAAGTAAGTTATTTAGAATTGAAGAGTAATGTGTTCATAACTTCCCTGATAAGCAGTATTGCTTTCCTGTGTCACACGTCTCAAAATAGTCGGCTGTTTTAAAACATGTTGGCCATTTGAATTATGGTAGTGTGGTATGCATTCCAGTTGATCAATGCAGTCACTTTTATATTTTCACTTTCTACATTGTTTACATTTTTGGATAGTGCTAAAACCACTGAGTGAAAATTATTAATGTACAACATTCCTTGAAATTTTAAAAGTAAGTTTTTTCATTAAGTGTGATAATGCGAAGCAGTACTGCCCATATTTAAGTGTGGAACTTGTTTGGTTCAGTTTTAATTTAAGTAATGAAGGAAAATTCTTTCAGAAAAAGCATTCAAATATTTGAGGATACTGTGCTATGAAAAACTATGAAATCAGTGTATATACTGTATGAACAGTACAGTGAACCCCCGCATAACGATCACCTCCGAATGCGACCAATTATGTAAGTGTATTTATGTAAGTGCGTTTGTACGTGTATGTTTGGGGGTCTGAAATGGACTAATCTACTTCACAATATTCCTTATGGGAACAAATTCGGTCAGTACTGGCACCTGAACATACTTCTGGAGTGAAAAAATATCGTTAACCGGGGGTCCACTGTATTGTAAATAGTCCTTTCTTTGGCCTCTCCAGTGAAAATTGGTAAATTTTCATAGCCATTGCCTTACAGCAGAAGGGAAATACTTATTTTGAATGTGTTATATTACTATTGTACCATACATTATATCTATTTAACAGATTTTGGAGAGTAGTCTGAACTGTCAGGACACTTATGGCAAGACTGCAGTTGAATGAATTAGTGAATGTTTCCTCTCTATTAGGGGTGGGTGGTAGAGAAGACGTCTTGTGTAAGGGGGATGAGTCCATTGTCCGGACAGTTCATTAAACCCAAATTTCTGTTGCTGTTGCAATCGTGGGAAAAAACAGTCTAGTTAGGATTGACTGGACATCTTTCCCAGGATTGACTGGACACCCTCTCAGCCCCCTTTCCCCCTTTTAGTCTGTTGAGAATTCACTGTAGTTGTCTTGATTTGTCTATATTTTGGGTGTTACTTAATATGATTATATATTTTAAATGTTCCTTGAGTACATTTGTACATAAAATAAATTTTATTTTTTTGTAAAATTGTAATTTGGATCACACTATGTAATTTGTATCCCTAATCATACACACATTGTTTCTGAGCTTAGAAGTGCCCTACGGAATACCACTCCTCATAACGTGCTGAATGATTCATATGGATCTAGCTCTTTTTTGTGAATATAATAGAAATTGTGTAACTTATAATACAGAATTGTCCCTATTTACAAAATGATTGGTTAAATTACTCTGCTTTGCCATTTAAGCAAGATACACATAGCAACTTAGCACATAGGATACACTTGTTATATCTAACAGCTACCTTTTTTTTTTTATGTACTGATTTTTGTGCTGAGCTCAAAATTTAAGTCTGCATGAAAGTAATTATTATGTGGCAGTTTTAAATATTTCTTTATTAATCTTAAGTAAATGCTTAAATTTGTGATTTTTGTAAAATATACCTTTTTTTTTTTTTTTAAATCTGTCTTCTGAATTGAAATAAGTGGTTGACTGTTTACTCGTAAGTATATCTTGAAAGGTACATTATTATTTATTTTTTAACACTTCGGCCGTCTCCCAAAGAGACAAGTGACCCCAAAAAAAAAGAAACTAGGTAAAAAGAAGAAAAACTCGTTAAAAATTAGTACAGAAGGGGTTACTAGCCCCTTGCTCCTGGCATTTTAGGCTTCTCGTATGACATCCATGACTTGTAGAGAAGGGATTCTTCTCTTGCCCTTGGTGTATTTTTTTATTTTAGTATTTTTTTTATTATATTACCAAGGGTAGCTTAACATAGTTCAAATTTATAAATGTTATAGATGATGCAGCCCATGCCTTGTAATAAGTCTTGTTAGAACACTATGAATCTTCCAAGGTAGAAATCATAAATACAAAAGCATTAGCATTTCAAAGGGAAATGTGCATTTGAGTTATGTTAGTGGAAAGAGAGAGAATTTGGAATTTTATAACAAATCTAGAAATGTTAGTTTTCTAATTTAATAGTGACATTTTACTATGCTCTAAATAAACCACGAAACTTATTGGGATATTACGTAAACTAAAGTTTTTAATGATTAAAACAAATTCTCATTTATTGTGGCTTCAGAATTTTTTTTTTAAATATTAAGTTAACCATTACTTTAAACAGTTTTACTCTCATGACTACCCTTTTGAGACCAGGGGCAGTGCTGTAAGATCCTTGTGGGTTTAGTGCTTAGTTATGATTATAATAGAGACCTGGGATTAGTCTGTTACCTTGGGATGCCTTGGCTTATTTATTTTTCATATAATGGGCCTTAACATTTAAGGATGAATGCAAAGGCTGAGATTCTCCTGTGTTTCTTTTCTATAATTCCCAACAAGTTGGTGAACAATTTTTTCCTTGATGGAGGTAAAATGGGAGATCAGGTGCTGATCCTACTGAAACAATAGGCTGCTCATATCTGGCTAATGCTAAGTGTGCATTGGAAAGTTTCTACCATATGTTTTGTTGCTGTCTTGCTGCCTGTTTGTTACTTGTATCTACCTCTTTTAGCAATCCTGTAAAATTATAGCCACACATTTCTTTTGGATCATGACATATCACAGGTGACCTGACAATGCCCTATTGCAATCTAATTGTTCTCTGAAGTACTGATAGTGCCATAACTTCTCAGACCAGCTCAATCCAGAGCCCTTCCTTCCTCTGTTAGTATATATTGCATTCTTGCAGCTCTCCATGCCAGCTCTCATACTCGAGGCCTGCATTATTATCCTGCAATCTACCCCCACAAAAGTCCCTCAGCTTTTCATTATGTTAAAGCCAATAGATTACTAGAGGATGCATTTTTCTGATACATTCTTTTACAAACTTTTAATCCTAGATTACCTAGGATGGGTTAGAGTGAAAGTTAAACCTGCCTCATCCCTTCATAGAAGATGCCTTGATGCTGGTAAATGGCTCTTGACCTAAAGAACCAGACTTACCTTTTTTCCTTGGGTCAAACCTGAATTCCTCTTATTTCCATGGTGCATTGTGACTTCTATAGGTTTAGCACTTCCCTCTGATTAAAAAAAAAAATCACTTGCTATTTGTTTTTATTTCTATATCTTGTACAATGAAAGTGTATTTCTCAAATCCCACATTTTTTCACACTATCACTTCATGTAGTTCACTTCTTATTTACCCAGGATGTGACCCACAGCAATCTTCTAACACCCAGGTATCTACTGTACTTACTGCTAGGTGAGCAGGGGCAGCAGGTGTAAGGAAGCATGCCCGTTTCCAACAGTACCGAGGATCCAACTATGTACTGCCCTCATTTCAGTAGTTTTATCCTCTCTTTACCTCGAGACAATTTGGGGATCCTGGTTTCATCCTTGCCCAAATTGTTGATATTGTTGCAGCTTTACTTTCCATTTCTTTTGGGAGGGTTGGACTCATGATGACCTTGCCGAATTTTTTCACAGCATGTTTTAAATATCTTGGCTTCCAACCAGGTTGTTCCTTAGACGCTTGTATTTATTGACCTTCCTCTTTGGTACTCTTTCATTGCTTTGGTTGAATGATAGACAATGGTTGCACTTATTTCCATAATTTTATCGCCTCGCCTCCTTATTGACATTGAAGCTGCAAATTGGGTACTCTATCCAAATAGACAAACAGGTAATTATACCATACTATTTCATTTCTCTGCTGATGAGCTGTATGATGCAAACAAAATGAATAATAATTCAGCTGCTGATGCCTCCATTAATGACCTGTCATAATCTGTTTGATGGCTGCTGTCATTGTTCTTCTGGGGCTCCCATGAATTTTTTAAGTAATTTTTCTGTCTGGTTGAATCACATCTAAAGTATAGGCACTACCAGGGCAATTGTACTACCAATAACTATTTGCTTTAATGCAGGGGCTTCTTCACATTGTTATATGGGCAGTTAAGCATATATATTTGCATTTAAACGAGAAATCGTGTGTTGATGCTGGGGGTACAACACTGGATAAGCTCAGTCTTCTCTTTGCTTCTTACTGAAGCAGAAAAAGCTCAGTGATGTATTTATTTAACAGAAATCTGTTAATTAATATTGTCCTTGTTTTCTTTATTGACAAATACAAGGATTTTATTAATATTATGTACAGTATTTGCATCTGTATGAAGTGTGGCCTGCAGAGTGTACTACCTTTAATAAAGTGGCCTGCCAGCCAAAATAATTGCTCACCCCCTGGGCTAGCAAGTGCTCTTGCTCCCCTCTATGTAACATATGTGCAGCTGATTGTGGAACACATTTTTAACAGTTTGCCAACAGCTGAGGCCTTTCCACTTTCACCGTGGTTTCTACAATTACCAAGGTGCCTTTAGGGACCTCAGAGGCAAGTCTTTTGACTGTAATTTAATGGGATTCTTAACTGATGCTGGTTGTTTTAACTTGATATATTAATATTTAACTGTGTTGTGTGTATTATAAATATTTGTTTTTCTGCCAGGAGTTCTAAATGATCACTGTCAAAGTGGAGATCCAATACTAAAACTACCTTATTCAGTGCTAGTTGAGTCAAATCTTCATCAGACTGAGGTCATCTTTTACTGGAAACTAAGTCAGTGTGCTGGGAAATGAACCTAAATTTCACATGTGCATTCTGCAGCTCAGAGCCTTCCAAACTGATTTATATATACCGAGTTTAATTTCAGTGAGTAATATCCAAATAACCATTTGATGAAGCCAAATTGGATCTTCCATGCACAGTATGCTCTTATTTACCTCTGTGCACAATGATATTAACGATAAATTTTTGTGGTAAAACGCACACAAGTTTGGAGCACTCGTGATAACTTTTTCATATCGACTGTATAGTTCAATGTGTGGGTTGGGTTGAAAATGAAAGATTATGACCATATCTGAAATTAAAAGGGAACACTTTAAAGTTACTATAATATGGTAGTTTTTCTCTTGGAAAGTAAAAAAAAATTAATTTTATATAGCTGATAAATGAAGAATTGTACATATGAATACTGAAAAATCTTAGGCACAACCAGGAGTTCTGACCATGCCAGTTTTTGGTTAAAATGTCTGTAAAAACTTTTATAAATACAGTACATAAAAATGTATTTATAGGCATACCATTTTCGCAAGTCCCTGAATGCAGTTGTGGGACTTGAACAAAGGAATTGGACTTGCTGTTTTCTTTCCTAGATAAAACCTGATGACGCCTATGAGTTTAGCACCCATCATCTCTTCACGAATGTAGTAGTAATAATAGGGTAGGATCCAACTTGCAACAATAACATATTCTCAATAATTGATCATAGGTTGAATGTTAGATACTCGGAGCCTATTTTCCCATTAGAAACAATGTAAAATGTATTAATGTGCTCCTGAGCTTTAATTTTCCACATCTAATATTTGTTAATTTTCTCGTATGAATTTTTACCTAATCCTTTATCTTCAATATGCTTTTTCAAATTAATATTTCTGTGTACGTATTAATCAAAAAACATAATAAATAGTAATAGTGTTGAATGATGAAAGTTTTTTCTTTGTTAGGGTTTTTCGTTCTTTTTGGGTCACCCTGCCTCAGTGGGAAATGGCCAACTTGTTAAAAAAGAAAAAAAAATAATACAGTACAACCTCTCCTCAATGATGGAGTTTCGTTCCTAAGACCACATCCTTAAACGAATTTGTCACTAAGCAAGGAGCAAACTATAAAAGTAGTGGGTTTGTGTCGACCATCTTTGATATTGCTTTACTGTCACCTTTGCACCTTTTATAAAATTTTTGGTATATTTTTAAATGTTAATACAATAGTGTACTGTATATTATAAACAGAATAGAGGAAATACGTAAGCTCTAATATACATTATTTAGGTATACCTACTGGTCAGAGAGCCAGTCGTAAGTCCAAGGCGTCGGTAAATGAGTATGTCACTAAGTAAAGAGAGGCTGTATTTAACCCTTTCAAGGTTGCTGCCATACTAGTACGGCTTGCACGCCAGGGATGGTGCCGTACTAGTACTCATGAATTCTAGCGCCTTCAAATCTAGCGAGAGAAAGCTGGTAGGGCTACATATGAAAGAATGGGTCTGTGGTCAGTGTGCGCAGTATAAAAAAAAATCCTGCAGCACACTGCATAATGAGAAAAAAAAAAAAAAAATTCCGACCATGTTTTTGGTTTAGAACGGCGACTTTGCAGTGTACTATTTTCGTATGCTATTTATGGTTGTATTCTAGTTTTCCTGGTCTCATTTTATAGAATGGAAGACATATTATGGAAATTGAGATGATTTTTATTGGTTTCACAATGAAAAGTACCTTGAAATTGAGCTCAAAGTAGCAGAAATGTTCGATTTTTGCCGAAGTTCAAAAGTAAATAAATCAACCCATGCGTCCAATACACGTCAACTGGCAAGTCTAATATTCTTTCACAAGTGTGCTGATATTATTTATGGCATTTCTACACTAATGCAGTAGTCTGCATAACAGTAAATCTTCTATTTTTTGTGAGAATAAAAATTCAAAGTGGAAAACAAAAAATGTAACAGAGGCCTGGGAATGTGACTAATGAACAGAGGAAATGTTATTTTAGTGCCAGGAATGTCTGTCTGTGGTTTATTCTGGACCCTATTTAGAAATTGGCATCTTTTGAAATTTGTGTAAAATTGGAAAAATTGCCAATTTCAGACCACTTTATTGGATAGTTGAAATCGGTAAATGGGTGGTTTCTTGTACTCATTCAATAGAAAAAATGGAGTTCTAGCAAAAGAGTTATGATTTTTGTTGACGTACATGGGAACTGGCCGAAAATAGGGCTCAAATTGGGCGAAATCGCTGATGCGTAAACATTGTCGAGACTGCTAACTTCGCGAGAGCATAATTCCATAAGTTTTCCATCAAATTTCATACTTTTGGTGTCGTTGTGATTGAGAAAATATTCTCTATCATTTCATATAATTTTTTTTTTTTTCAAAAAAATTCCGACCCTGAGAAGTTTAGGAGAGGGCCTCCCGACCCTGAAAGGGTTAAAAATGTATTGCTCACTGAAATGGATGTTTCTTCCTTATTTTAAGCTTTTTTAAGTATGTACACTGGTCCCCACCATCGGAGGTGAGTCACTTTATTAGTAATTAATTGGATCCAAAAGGCCAACACTGCTGTAAATATGAAACACCACTCGGAACATAATAAGTCAGGGCCCTATGTATCATGCAAAGGTCTTTTAAACATCTTTGATGTGGTATTACTATATTATTACTACTACAGGTCGGCCATCACTAATCCGGCATCACTGGACTTGTAGTGTGTCGGATTAGTGAGTTTGCAAGATTACAGAGTGGTTAGGTTGGAATACACTTAATTAACCTATCAAACGAGACTACTACATCTTCATTTTCATCACTGCTTTCTCTTCCACTGGCTTGCTGCTGTGGATTTGCAACCATCTACACAATTTCTGAGCCAGTATAATGATGAAATTTGAAATTGCTAGCTGAAATTAGTTCTGGATTACTGATGGAACCGGATAACTGATTACCGGATTAATGATGGCCAACCTGTACTATATTTAAGGGGAAATTTCTGAACTCATAGAAGTCAGTGTTTGGGAGCAGGTGACAATTAGGTTTGATCCACAGACAGGGAGGACAGGTCAAAGAGCCCTTCACTATCATTATGGAACTTTCCTGGAGGAACTTCGATGTGGTAGAATAAAAAAAAAATGACATCAGGGCAGAAATTCAATGGCATAAAGTGGTGGTGATGCAAGCAGGTACTGTACTGTACCACAATTCAGAACATCTAAATTTAATTAAAACCAGTGTACCTAACTTGTATTGTACAAAACCAGTAATTTTGTGCAATGAATCCTTATAACAATATGTTGTACCCTTCACTTTCAGTAATTTGTTTTATATAATTTATCCTAAGTCTTCAAATAATATACTGTACAGTACTGTATTTAGCATTGTCCAACACTGTATTCTCTCTACTCTGGTCAAGCCATTTCCATCCTTGATTAAATTGGAAATGAACTGCTGAAGTTTACATTTTATTGCACTTATTAAATTAGGTTATACAGTTTCTGCAAATACTCCAGATATTCATTAATGCAAAAATATTTTTTGCATGACAGTATAGCTTACTGCATAAGTTAGTTGCATTAAATGAGAAATTGTAATACACGAAAACAAGTTAATTTTGAGGTTTATAGAAGTATCACTTGAATATTTTATAAATAATTTCAAGGGAATGTGTTGATCCATAAAATTGTAGCTACCCTGACTCATGAAATCGTAATAACACACTTGCAAACAAACCATGGTACAGGTGGGGTTCGAACCTGCAGCCAGTGAGTCGTAAAACTCCAGGCCAGCTTGTAAGCCACCGGCCATCTGGCTACAATAAGATTCATCCAACTAGGTATAGTTATACACCATAGGGAGGGCCCATGCTAACCTCCCTATGGTATATAAATATACCTAGTTGGATGAATTGTATTGTAGCCAGCTGGCCCAGTGGCTTACATGCTGGCTTGGAGTTTTACAACCCCCTTGCTGTGAGTTCAAGCCCCACTTGTACCATGGTATGTAGCTACCCTAACTCAAATTAAACCTAATGACCTCTCATTGACAAAGCCCTGCATTACTCTTATGGGTTTAGCACTTCCCTATTAATATAATGATAATAATTTGTAAATCATGCTAACTAGATACAAGATGTGTTGACAGCCATAATGAAAGATACTGTTTATTTGTCTTATTTACTGTACGCTGATAGGCATAATGTAACAACAATTAAGACTGTAGTGCCATGGGTGTGGAACTAGAATGAAATATAGGCCTACAGTATATTTCCTTTATTTGCATGAATATTTCTTAATTTGTGAGGATGGTTATACAGTACTCTGGAAACTAGCTTTAATCAAATTAGAAATCAACACTGCCTCCTTGATGTAAATCTTAACTCACAACTATGATCTTTTTAGGTTTAGATACAACCAACCTGCCATTATATATGTACTGCTAATGTAAACACAAGTGTAATAAGAAATAAACAATAGTACAAACAAACTTGCATGAAAGTAAAACGAAATATGAATACTGTTACAGTACTCGTCTTAATGTCTTATTTTACAGTACTGTGCTACTGTATATTTTGACTTAATCCCAGTATTCAGAAAATGGCCTCATTGGTAGGCTGAAAGATGCAGTAGTCATCTTTTTGTTTTATTTTTTTCATGTGGATTTGTTTGAGGCATGTGTAATGTACAGTAGTTTAGAAGGGTGTGAATACAAAAATTAAATTATATTGATGCCTGTGAATTTAACAGTAATGTTGTAAGAGAGAGAGTACAGTATGTAGAAATTCATTGTAAGTATTGTCAGTGTGAAAATATTTCTGATGAGCTACTGAAAGCCATGAATCTTGAAAAAACTGTAGTACATTCATAGAAGATTTGTTAATCCATGCAGAGACAACTAAAGAGTTATTCATATATGTGGCACTTATCAAAGTCACATTTCATCCTTCTGAATCATTGTATATCTTCATCACAATACAAATATGAGATTCACTCAGACTGAATTTTTAGTATATCTGCTAAATGCCTAAAAGAAATTTATTGCTTGGGTCTTGTGAATGAATTTTTTCATCATTCATTTCATAAATATTTATGTCCCTCAGAACTTATATGCTGTATCATCTTGAAAGAGGTTATATTTTGTATTTTTATATTCCAAGAAACTAAGTCAAATTGGCTTCACATTATACAGTAAATCTGGTAGAAGCATGATTATGTAACGCGTGCAGTCATTTTTAGTCCATATGTATAATATGTACGTATTGCACAAATGCATATTTATCATGCAAATACATGCTCTATGATCTAATAGTCGTTTCTTTTCCCTTTCTATCCTGTATTACTTTCAGCAAACATATGTACTATATAATGTACCGAATATAAAGGCTGATGATGTACTTTGTGAAATACCTTTTATTTCCTTTCCCTCCCTTTCTACATTTTTTCTTTTTCTAGATACCTCCATTTCCCTTCACTAATGTGAGTGTCTTAGATCAGAGTGGAGACAAGCAGTTTTGGTGATTTAACATGCTATCATTTTATCAGGTTTTTACACGCATTAGCGCTGTATAGCCCTTGTGGCTTAGCGCTTCTTTTTTGATTATAATAATTTTTCATGCATTTGAAAGAGAAAAAAGGCCATGTTTCAGTGATTTTTGCCTTACAGCAGTAGCTTGAAACCTAACTTGCTGTATAAGCACGGCCTATCTGTATGTTTTTATTTTTTTTTTAAATAACTATCTTTCCCTTCATATCACAGTGGAGACAAGTGGTTTTGCTGATTTAGCATGTTGAAGTGCGAGCAAAGTAATATTTATGAAGTGATTCTTGGAAGCTGATTAACCAGACATGAATTCTATAAGTGGGACGTACAGTGTCTGCACTCTGAAGGATGGGTGGGGATGCTGTTTGGAGAGTCACATCTGACAAGATAGCTATTGAAGACATAACACTAAATTGTTAACTTCTTTGGGTCACTTTTTCTTTGTTGGTAAAAAAAAGTCAGAACAGGACAGCAGTCTGATACTTCTGTATGGCATTACCTTTCTTGTGGGACAACTGATTTTTTTAACCATTGACTTTTTTACTGATTATTATGGGACATTATTTCACTTAGACAACTGATTTTCTGTAGTCCTGTATGATCATCTTATCTTTTCAAAGGGTTGCCTTAAATAATGCAGGTGAAAAGCTTTGATCTTAAAAATTGGGAAAGTTACCGTTCCCCTTCTGAGATCAAACCTGAATACCTCCCATTTCCCAGTCATTATATGATTCTTACAAACAGTTTTATTTCTATAAAATGGAGCGCAGTATACAACTGATATTTGAGTAATTGACATGTATAAATGACAGTACTCTATGGAAAGTCCCTTGTTATGCAGAGTATTTCGGGCAGGTTCAGTACTTTCACATGATTATAAAAATATATGACCCATTTAAAGATTTCATCATGAATATATTATTTTATGAACAAGGCACAGTACTAGCTCCCATCTTGTTCCTCATCCTCATATCCGACATAGACAAGGATGTCAGCCACAGCACCGTGTCTTCCTTTGCAGATGACACCCGAATCTGCATGACAGTGTCTTCCATTGCAGACACTGCAAGGCTCCAGGCGAACATCAACCAAATCTTTCAGTGGGCTGCAGAAAACAATATGAAGTTCAACGATGAGAAATTTCAATTACTCAGATATGGTAAACATGAGGAAATTAAATCTTCATCAGAGTACAAAACAAATTCTGGCCACAAAATAGAGCGAAACACCAACGTCAAAGACCTGGAGTGATTATGTCGGAGGATCTCACCTTCAAGGACCATAACATTGTATCAATCGCATCTGCTAGAAAAATGACAGGATGGATAATGAGAACCTTCAAAACTAGGGAGGCTAAGCCCATGATGACACTCTTCAGGTCACTTGTTCTATCTAGGCTGGAATATTGCTGCACTCTAACAGCACCTTTCAAGGCAGGTGAAATTGCCGACCTAGAAAATGTACAGAGAAGTTTCACGGCGCGCATAACGGAGATAAAATACCTCAATTACTGGGAGCGCTTGAGGTTTCTAAACCTGTATTCCCTGGAACGCAGGAGGGAGAGATACATGATTATATACACCTGGAAAATCCTAGAGGGACTAGTACCGAACTTGCACACGAAAATCACTCACTACGAAAGCAAAAGACTTGGCAGACGATGCACCATCCCCCCAATGAAAAGCAGGGGTGTCACTAGCACGTTAAGAGACCATACAATAAGTGTCAGGGGCCCGAGACTGTTCAACTGCCTCCCAGCACACATAAGGGGGATTACCAACAGACCCCTGGCAGTCTTCAAGCTGGCACTGGACAAGCACCTAAAGTCAGTTCCTGATCAGCCGGGCTGTGGCTCGTACGTTGGTTTGCGTGCAGCCAGCAGCAACAGCCTGGTTGATCAGGCGCTGATCCACCAGGAGGCCTGGTCACAGACCGGGCCGCGGGGGCGTTGACCCCCGAAACTCTCTCCAGGTAAACTCCAGGTAAAACATCAGCCACCTCTCATCAAGGCAGCGTGACCTGCCTGTCACTGTCTTGCCAGTGGCATGCCTACATTACATTTAAAAAAAATACCACAACATATCAACACCCTTAATTCAGAGCACTGTACTTCCCGCCTCCAGGACTCAATTCTGGCTAATCATGAATAGCTCACGCTCCAACACAGCAATTCACAAAAATCATTCGTTTTTACTCCAATCTAACATGCTCATGGGGTGTCCCATGGCCTGGTGGCGAAAGCTCTCGCTTCAATACAAATAGAAATACAGTATTTATTTCCTCGTAAAGCTTACAATGTGTGGTTTACATGTTATAAGAGTTTAATCACAAAGATGGCCACTATCGTGCCTAGGCACTTCGGGCAGACTAATACCACAGTCGATGGCCTCCACTCCAAACCAACAGATACAGATACTAATGCCGGAAAAAAAAAATCCCCCCCCCCCCCAGTACCAACAATACCACCAGTCCGATGACATTCTTCTTTGCAAATATACAGGGTCTAAAGCCAGCAACAAACAACAAAATACCTTTCATCCGTGGACTGCTTGCAGAGGCAAAGGCAATGTTCGCGGCTTTCACTGAGACCCACATAAAGGATCACTTGGACAACTAAATATGGATCCCAGGTTACAACCTATACAGATGTGACAGAGTGAACAGGCAAAAGGGAGGGGGGTTGGCCTGTACATTGCAGAGTCACTTGTTTGCACAGAACTGCTTAATGCCTCAAATGATGTAGTGGAAGTTTTAGCAGTAAAGATCGAGAACCAAAACCTAGTCATTGTGGTAGTCTACAAGCCTCCGGATGCAACATCCCAGCAATTCCAGGAACAGCTGTTAAAAATTGACCACTGTCTGGAAAATCTTCCAGCTCCTGCACCCAACATCTTGCTCCTGGGGGATTTCAACTTAAGGCACCTAAAATGGAGGAATATAGCAAATAATATTGTTGCAGCAGTAACACCAGGAGGCAGCTCTGATGAAAACACACTCACACGAGCTTTTAAATCTCTGCACAAAATTCGATTTAAACCAGCAAATAATAGAGCCTACTAGACTGGAGAATACACTAGACCTCATCTTCACTAACAATGATGATCTGATAAGAAATGTCGCCATATCAAAAACAATATACTCAGATCACAACATAATTGAGGTTCAGACATGTATGCGTGGAGCCCCAGACCGACATAATGAGACTAGTCACGAGGGAGCATTCACCAATTTCAACTTAAATAACAAAAACATAAAAGTGGGACCAAGTAAACCAAGTCCTAACCGATATAAGCTGGGAAGATATACTAAGCAACACAGACCCCAACTTATGCCTAGAACAGATTAACTCGGTGGCACTCGATGTATGCACAAGGCTTATTCCTCTAAGAAAAAGGAGGAGTAGATGTAAAATAGAAAGAGACAGGCGCTCCCTTTATAGGCGACGGAAAAGAATAACAGAGCGGCTAAAAGAAGTCAATATATCTGAAATGCGTAGGGAGACACTGGTCAGAGAAATAGCAAGCATCGAACTTAAGCTAAAGGAATCTTATAGGAGTCAGGAATCGCGGGAAGAACTAAAAGCCATAAATGAAATCGAAAGAAACCCAAAGTATTTCTTCTCCTATGCCAAATCAAAGTCGAGAACAACGTCCAGTATTGGGCCCCTACTTAAACAAGATGGGACCTACACAGATGACAGCAAGGAAATGAGTGAGCTACTCAAGTCCCAATACCTGGAGTTTACCTGGAGAGAGTTCCGGGGGTCAACGCCCCCGCGGCCCAGTCTGTGACCAGGCCTCCTGGTGGATCAGAGCCTGATCAACCAGGCTGTTGCTGCTGGCTGCACGCAAACCAACGTACGAGCCACAGCCCGGCTGATCAGGAACTGACTTCAGGTGCTTGTCCAGTGCCAGCTTGAAGACTGCCAGGGGTCTGTTGGTAATCCCCCTTATGTGTGCTGGGAGGCAGTTGAACAGTCTCGGGCCCCTGACACTTATTGTATGGTCTCTTAACGTGCTAGTGACACCCCTGCTTTTCATTGGGGGGATGGTGCATCGGCTGCCAAGTCTTTTGCTTTCGTAGTGAGTGATTTTCGTGTGCAAGTTCGGTTCTAGTCCCTCTAGGATTTTCCAGGTGTATATAATCATGTATCTCTCCTGCCTGCGTTCCAGGGAATACAGGTTTAGGAACCTCAAGCGCTCCCAATAATTGAGGTGTTTTATCTCCGTTATGCGCGCCGTGAAAGTTCTCTGTACATTTTCTAGGTCGGCAATTTCACCTGCCTTGAAAGGTGCTGTTAGTGTGCAGCAATATTCCAGCCTAGATAGAACAAGTGACCTGAAGAGTGTCATCATGGGCTTGGCCTCCCTAGTTTTGAAGGTTCTCATTATCCATCCTGTCATTTTTCTAGTGTTTTAGTTAATTTAATATGTTTATTATGCACCCCATACCCATTTTTCTAGCAGATGCGATTGATACAATGTTATGGTCCTTGAAGGTGAGATCCTCCGACATGATCACTCCCAGGTCTTTGACGTTGGTGTTTCGCTCTATTTTGTGGCCAAAATTTGTTTTGTACTCTGATGAAGATTTAATTTCCTCGTGTTTACCATATCTGAGTAATTGAAATTTCTCATCGTTGAACTTCATATTGTTTTCTGCAGCCCACTGAAAGATTTGGTTGATGTCCGCCTGGAGCCTTGCAGTGTCTGCAATGGAAGACACTGTCATGCAGATTCGGGTGTCATCTGCAAAGGAAGACACGG